GGACCAACGGAGGGGAGGCAGGGGAGGGGGAGAGGACTTCACAGAAATGGAATTCTCAGCTGAGCTCTGCCTGGAGATGACTGGCTTACACTTGCTAAACTCAGCCGGTCACACAGGGAGGAAGCTCTTGGGCCAATCTCGAACTGGAAGCCAGTCTGTGCGGGGCTCCCTTGCCCTGCCTGTGAAACCAGATCCGAAAGCCCGGGCATTGTGGGGGGCTTGGGCAGCAGAGGAGGCTTCCGGACCCCATTCGAAGTTTTTACTGGGGATAGGGGGATTTGAGAGTGCTGGGATCGGGGTGGAATGGCACAGATGAAGTCATTGTCTTAAAACAAACCTTCCCCTTTAAAAGTCCAATCTGGGGCCACATCAGAGAAGCAGGGCATATTTATTAGGGACAGTCATTTTTACCTTTAGAAACTGTCTATAAGTGCACAGGCACCCCATTCTAGGCAATGAAGAGCTACTTTGGAGGACAGTTGACACTGAACCAGCAGTCACTTTCGGAACACTGACTTTTGCTCTCTGAACTTAAAAAAAAAAAAAAAAAAACCACAGTTTTGTTCTATGTAAAGTTACTAAGAGCTCTCTGCCAAGGAACGCAACCTTGACAAACTGCTCTCAGATACCACGCTAAACTCTCACTGGATCCTTAAGGGGAAGAACTTTTAATAAATAGATTCTAATCGCTGGTCCAGGACCACACTAACCTGTTGCTGAATAGAAATACCTGTCAAAAGTATGGGGCCATAGACGTGGAGCCAGACTATTTTTATAGTTAAGTGACACAGATCCTTTTGCGTGCCTGCAAGCCCATGCACGCTGGGCACACAGATGTGTTAATACCGTGTTACTTTCATGGTAATGCCAGGCTAAAGAATCGCATCCCTTGCCAACTCCATTTGAAAGGAATGCCATTGTTTTGTTTGGTAGAGCATATGGCCAGTAAAGTATGTGCAGGGACTCCCAGCATTTTTGTTTAAAAGTTTGCCGCAGCAGTATAAACAATTAAGGCAACACTCAGAATTTCCAATCCTGAAAACCTGTTGACTCAGATGTTCTGTTTTCAAGAAAACCATGAAAGACCTAAGCATCCTTTCGCGAGTGCAGATAGCCTGCCGGTTTTGTGGCTCCCCACTGTAGGAGAAGCCCTGGTCTCCCATAAGCTTCCCAGGCAGTTTGGCTCTCTTACTAGAAACTTCTGTCCTGTAGGGAAGGTCCTACTTTCTTTCTCTAAATCTCTTTCTTGATGTAGCCCCAAAGGTCATGATCATTAGGACTTTATCTTCTGAAGCTTATTGAGAAAAAAAAGCCAGGTTGGAGTTTTCAAGTTGCCGCCCAATTTACTCAACCTTTCATGGTGGTTAGGTAAGAAAGAAAACATTTATGGCATTTGGTCGTGCGTATGGAATGGATTCTAGCGGTCTAGAGGGCGGCTCCATGTCCTGACACAAAGGGACCCTGTATATGTCTTTATATAGCGACTTCCACACAGAATGGCCTCGATGGCAGCTCCTTGTCAATTGGCTTTAACCGCATCATATGACTAAGTATGCCAATGCCTTTGACCACTTTGAACTGCACACTGGTGCTAGCAATATGCCCCTCTTTCTGACTTACTGGACTTGTATAGCAAATCACTCTCTTGGCACACAGAGATCTGGCAGTGAAAGAATGTGACCATTTACATTCTTTCTTACTTATGCCCTAATCTCTATGCCAGTCTTCTCCCAGTTATATGGGATTTTGTCTTTTTACTTCTCTGTTAGGTGTTTAGTTTAAAAGAAAAATGAGCTACTTTTTAAAAAGCGATTCATCGGACTTACCCGCTGAGTAAACTTTAAGATTTGTAATGGCAAACTCCTCCTGATTGAGTTTACAACTTGACTTCGGATTCTTAGAAGAGGTTTATCACAATTGCTTATTTTTCTCATCTAAGGAGTTCACACATCAACTTCAAGTTGATGTAATATAATTTCACAGATTCCATCATTGCTATTTGGACAATCTGCTCTTCAGGTAGAGTACCCTATGAGCATTTTCTCCCTATTTTGCTAACCCAGGAAAAGATATTTATCATCCGAATGATTGTAGCGAATATATAAAAATGAATAGCAGAGATCTATGTCTTGTTGCTTTTGTAACAATTCAACTTCAGTAACATTCCAACTATGGAAAGTGTCAAGATTTTTTGGAGAATAGGAAAAGGCATGCATTTTTCTTTCCTTTATAAACTGTTTTGTTCAGTATAGAATCCAGTCCCTAAGTGTTCATTGCCACCAGCGTGCCAGGGACACACCTTTCCACCTGGACACTCCTCAGTTTGGGGATACGTGTTTAATTTTTGCCTTTTCTCTCCTTGCTTGTTGAATAAAGCCAAGGCATGGCACCAGAAGCAGAGGGGCTACAAGAGTGCTGGAAACTCTTTTAACTGAGTCTGTCCCATTCTGCTTATGTGGAAAGTGCCCCATCTTTATAAAGCTGATGTGAGTTGTTACTGACTAAACAGTGGGGACTTGCTCTAAGGCTCTCTGAAATTTATTCCAACAAATAAAAATGATTTTCTTTTTATGCATGTCACCCAAGTTTGCTCACCAAGTTAGTGTGTTCTTTGCATAGCTGGCACAAAATCCTCTATGTTTACCTTAAGGCCTTAAAGAGACATCCTCTCTTCAAAGGAAAGGTAGTTGGGATGGGGAAAGCCAAGCCAACTCACTATGATTGGCAGTGAAGCTAAAATCAGTGGCCTTCTTGGCTGATGCAGCTTATCTTATCTCATTTTGATTCACATTGTACAATAACAATATACCTTTGAGTCTCCACACACTGCCAAACCTAAATGTGCATTCTGGTAATTAGCTTAGCAATTGATAGTACTTGTAGAAAAGAAAGGGGGAGAAAGACAAATGAAACACCAAGAAATGGATAATGCTCACATAGCCTAGGTGGTGTTGAAAGCAGCATATAAATCTCCCCTCTTGGAGGTACTATTTGCAGGAGATTTGAGTTAGAAATTTATACTGCCCAAACAGGGGTCTAAGAAGGCTTGCTCGGATGACTCATTTCCCCTACCTGCAGAAAACCATCTCAAAGTGGAGTTGACTCCCACCCTTCCACCCCTATCTTTGAACTTTTCCGTGGATCACCCCTCACTGAAGGATGCCTTAGGGGCTACACGCTTGCTTCTCTGAGTAACGGGAAAAGATCGTCCACAAGAGGGCGCATTCCAAAGACTTTTGCTTCTTGTCTGTTAATCTTGCAGGGAAAAGCAATTGTGCCTAGCCAAGCCCCTGTCTACAGCGCCCTAATCTTGGGTTAGATCCGGCTCCCTCTCATCCCCCAGAAAAAGTTAAGGTTTTATGGGATGGGAGAAACACGATTACCTGTAACACATTCAGTGAGACAGAAGGAAAGGAAGTGGAAATGCTAGTGATACGTGCGCACATTCTGGAGCTCTATGGAAGGCAGACGAGTGATAAATTTCAAAAACAAACAAAGCGGAGCAGGGAGAAATGTGACCATGAATCATCAGCGATGCTGATTTGCTCACAAGTCTCTCCCTAATACGGTTGCCCGGGTTGTACAAAAACATCTTCCGTCTCCCTTGATTTTGTTGCCCGGTTTGCTTCCCTTATCAACACACTGTTCACCAGTGAGAAATGACAAGTGACTTCCAATAGGGAGGAAAGAGGCTATTTCTTTAACGCCTTGTGGGAACATGGTGTTCAGCCTCTGAGGATGCGTCCAACCCGAGGGTGTGGAGAGAAATGGTGGGAAAAGATGTGAAAAGAGATTAAGCGTGGTTTGCGGCCTGTGAAGGGCAGCAGGGGGGGCGCAGAGATGTCAGGGTGGAAAGTCAGATTTAACATTTAGAGAACTGGGGTAATACCTTCCCAGGCACTTGCAACTTGCAAACACATACGTACGTCTTGGCCCCTCTGCTGCTAAAAAATACTTGAGCATGATCTCTTAGCTGTCGTTCAGAATCTTTCATACTCGACTGGTTCCTAGGTCCAAAATCGAAAGTGTCAAAGTTCTCAGGAACTTTGGAAGAAGTCTGAAATTTTGTGGCTTGAACCTTAAAAACATTTTCTACTTCTTTTAGGGACCTAAATCTCCTTTCTCCCTAAATATTTAACTTTCTTTTTCATCACCAATTAAAGGGAAGAGGCATAGATGACGAATGTTTGTGGGTGAGCATTTGCAATTCAATAATGGATCCTAAGGAGAGTTAGTAGGGCTGAAAACTTAATCAAGATAATTTATGGCCAAACCTATAGTTCTACTACAGGAAAGATCCTCTACTGTAGGTCAAAGGAGGAATAACCTTAGAGACCTCACTTGCTGCTTTCTGCAGAAACCCCTGGAAGCAGTCCAAACACAAAGTTAGTGCTTCAGAGAACACACATGCTGTGAATGGTTGTGCATGCCCCTACCGTTGACTATACCATATCTAGGCACAGTGAAACCTTGATGAAAAATGGAAAATTAAAGTAACAGACGCTTTTTACAACAAGACTTCTCCCCCGCCTCACCATGGTGAGTTTAAATACATTCTATAAACAACAAGCCTTTCCACATTCACAGTAGAGACGTAATTATTGCCCGTATGTAAAAGGCAGCATACTTTAAGCAGGACCCTGGTAAGGAAAACAAAACAAAACTGAAACACTGCATGTGTGTGTTGCTTATTTCATTGGACATGTTCATACACCCAGAAATATGAGATGCTGGACTTTTGGATAAGTGACATTTTGCATCTTCGGGTGGGGGAAGGGATCGACAAGGGGATCGGCTGCTTAACCCTTGGCATGCCTTCCTGATCGAGCTACTAAAAACATTTTTAAAATTCTGAAAGCAAAGGAAAATGTGCTGCAAATACCCTTTCAGGCATCTTTCCTTCCATTTTACACAGTCTCTCCTCTGACGAATCCCTCCCACCCAGCAACATTTCAAAGGTATTCCCTTTAAGGTACAAAATGTATCCCTACTCATTTTTCTGCACCTTTTTTCTCTCTCTTTGGTATGTGTCCACCAAACTCATAGAGGTTTAAGTGATGAAATATTATCACCCACATGGGTTTGCGTGGGACTTTCTTAGTGAATTACTCAGGCAGAGCAGGCTGTGATACAGCCTTGCTCACAAGCCTCAGGAGGGAAAAAATAGCACAGAGGATGAAAAGAATATTATCAGAGAGTAGGTAATGAAAGGTTAGTAAAGCAACCAGCTATATCTGGTTAGCTAGGTAATAGTGTAGGAACCATGGTCGCACCTGTACCTGCTCACGAAGCATTATGGGAAGGCTTCCATGTCAAGATTTTACAGCATGAGATATTTAAATCAAACCTGAAACGAAATTGATCCTAAACCTCTCAGCCTTAGGCAGCCTTCTTCCATTTTTCAAATTGTTATGCATAAAGATTTGAAGATTGGGGCATCCTGAGAGTGTCACTGCAATATAGCAATCTCTCTCAGGTAATATAGAGATAAAGGGAATATAATCAATTGACTAGTTATTGATTCTATTTTTCATACCTAGGACATTCGAGGGTCTATTTCTGAAACCTACAGCCCTGATAAACATCAATCCCGTGGCAGCTTCCAGCAGTCTCATCTCCCCACCCCCTTCTGCAATGAAAGCTAATGTAAAAGAAAGAAATATGCACTGCTTAATAAGTCAGAATACAATAGAACGTGTAAAATGTACCTGCATATAGGGTAGACATTAGGAAGACTTGAATCTCTCTCTTCCCCCTGTTCTCCTGAGCATTATGGCAACAGCATTTTCATGAAATTGGATCTCAGTTTTATTTTTTTTCCTGATAAAATATCATGCAGTATACAAATAGCAGTTCCAGAAATGGACACCAGGAGAAGGAGGCGACAGGCATGTCAATTAGTAGGGGAAAATCCAAATGTCAGAAATATGGGGGAGAGAGAAAGCAGGCAGGCAGAGGATGCAAATACAGGGAGCAGAGTCTTTCCGTTCAGATAATTAAACCGATGCATAAATCAGCGCCCGTGCCTCTCCACACTGTGCAGGCAATGCCTTACAGTTCATTATCAGCCAAGACCAGCATGAAAGTCATTTTGGGATGACTCTCTGATCCTAATATAACAGCACCTGACAGATTGAGCCCCTCTGATGAGTACTCTCTTTGTACAATCCTCTCCCAGGAACACTAAATCATTTGCTTCCAAGTACAGCTGCTTGTGAAGAAGGGGTGGGGCTAGATCATGCATCAGAAACCTGCTCGTATGAAATGAGGGTTGTCCTGCCGGCTGTGTGACGGGGAGCAAGCAGCCTCAGCCTCACTGGCCCTACAAAAGCAATTTGCGTGAGGCTGTCACTTGTTCCCGTCCACCGATTAACCCTCCCCAATCCCCAACATCTGCAGATATCTCTGGACTTCATTTGTGGACAGTCCACTGCGTGCAGGTCAGCACTGCCATCCATCTACCTTCACCCTCAACCCCTCCTGTCAAGCATGGATGGGAGCAGAGCAGAGCCTGTGGGGTTGAGTTCCTGAAACCCAGTGAGCCTCCCCATCCCGGGCATGAGTCAGAGACTCCTGTTTTACACCCTTTCCTGGAAAAACAAAACACAGCAGCCATGTGCCCTCTGGCTTCTCTAATTTAGCAGCTACTATCTCTCTGTCTTCAAAGTGAGACCCTGTGCAGTTTAGGATTTCGGAGGCTGCCCGCATAGAGGCAGAAGGGGAAACAGCAGGTGGCTTGTTAACATTCTCCACAGGGCAGGGCGGATGTGCCCACGCTGGGGGTAACCTGCACACTCCTCCAGGCCAGGTATCAGAGGCTTCGAAGGTCCCTGCCAGCCTTTCCCTCTGGTCTTGACAGCACCCTACCACCTTAAAATCTGCTGCTGATTGCCCTTTTAGATTAAATGACTAAGCTCTGCTTCCTGGAATCTTCTCTTTCACTTTCTTAAAAAATAAACCACAAAAAGCCCCCACCAGTTCTCTGCAAAAGGGAATATAGGAGTCATATTTTGGAAAAAAAGTCACTGCGCATATTAAAGTAAGACAGCTTCCCCCTTTAACTCCTCCCTGCTCTGGCGCTCTATCTAATCATAAGCCCAGTTTTCTTATTCATTACAACTCCTGCCAGAGACTTGAGGTCGGTGTCAAAGGAACTCCCCTTACCACCACCACCGTCATCATCGGGGCCAGCATCCTAGCAAATCTGTACAGAGATGCCAGAGAACCTTTCATATCCATCTGCAGCTCTGCTTGGCCCTGGCCTCAGTGAATTTACCACTATCATAATCACAGTGTGCAGAGTGTGTTAAATTAAGAACAGAATCTACAGTACGCAATGCACAGAAAAGCCTGCCTTCTGCTGCAGAGAACTTGAAACTGTGCCTAAAATTTATAGTACCGTAAACATCTCAGGGCCTCGAGTGATAAGTATGGCTGGATTTCCGTTAGCTATAGAAATCCAGGCAGGGAGATCCTCCTAGGGAGTTGCGAGTTCTAAGATGAACTTCTTGAAGATTGGTCCCAGATTTGTACATGGGTTACACGTACAGCGGACAGTTGTAAGTAGGCACATGGACACGAAAAAGGGGACGTGTCTCTACAGACCACTGAGTGGTAACAATGGACGGGAGGGAGAATATTTGATATAATCAAAAAATTCTAGTCTGGACACTCGCTTTTTACAGTAAATGTTGCTGCATGAATAAACATACAGGTGCTTATGGGAGGAATGGAAATAGATGACTTTCTAATTTCAGAGTTAGGCTAGAACTGAGTAGCTGCTGAATCCAGGTACTCTGATAAGGCAGGGATTTCCTCTCTATTAGCAGCAGTTGCTGTTTGAAATATGTTTTTAGTGCTCATTAAGGTGCATACCAAAGGGACAGAAGCAAAAATGGGGGATTCAGAGGTACAGTGTGGCTCTCTTAATTTAATAGAAGCCAATGCTAAGGATGCCTCCATTTGTTGAAAAGTAATCAAGTAATTGCCTGCTTTCTGCCATACACTAGACAGTGACAGTGACCTCAGACCTCAGCCCTCCTAAGCCAGACTGGCAGGCGGGTGGTGACGGGGAAGATGCGAGGGAAGACTTCTAAAGGAAGTGTCATTCAGTCTGAAAACTTACTGAAGTCAGCCACTAAGGGTGCCATGTCGAGGGTGGGCAGGACTATTCTAGGTAGAAGGAACAGCAGGTGTCATTGCCTGCAGGTAAGAGAGAGGGTGGGATCCTTAAGACTTCAAGGAAACATGGTGTAACTGGACCACAGAGAACAAGAGGACAGGTTGAGAGCCAGTGTTGATGGCAGGAACATCATATGCAGAGCCCAAAGTCCTAGGGGCTTTCCGTTGGAGATTTAGAGCAATAGGAAGTGAGTAAAGGACTTTTAAGAAGGAGTGGCATGATCAGATGTACCTTTGGGAACGATTCCTTCAGCTGCTTAATGGAGAAATGATTGGAGAGGGGCCTGACTCAGTGTCACAGAGGCAAAGTAAAGAAAAGGCTGCTCCAGTGGCCCAGAGAAGAGGTGTTGGAGGAGGAAGCCAGCCGTCACAAGGAAAGAGGAGGCTGGCTCAGTGAGTCCCGCCCACACAGACCTACACAGCGGGGTGGGGCCGTAGGCTGCCCTTTTGTGTGAGAATAATATTTCCATAGCTTGCCAGAGCTTATAGTGAGTTTTCATGTATGTTATCCAATTTGATTCTTCCAAACCTGTGAAATAATAGGTCAAATGTCGTTATACCATTCCCATCTTATAGAAGGTGAAACTGAGATCAAGCAATTAGTCAACAGACATAGACCCCCACAGGCCCTCTTCATTGTTGCACAAGGGTCTGCGAACTTTTTTTTCTGTACAGGGCTAGAGAGTAAATATTTTAGATCAGACAGTCTCTGTACAGCTACTCAACTCTGTTATAGTGCAAAAGCAACTGTAAACAACATACTAAGAAATAAGCATAGCTGTGTTCCCAAAGAACTTTATTTACAGGCATTCATGTTTAAATTTCAGATAATTTTCACATGTCACAAAATACCACTTTTCTTCAAAATGTTAAAAACTGTTCTTAGTTTGCAGACCGTATAGAAACAGGTTTGGCCCGAGGGCTGTCATTTACTGACCCCTGTTTGAGATGGTCTATCACAGAAGACTTTGCCTGAAATCTGGAGTAGATGCAAATGACAGAATTAATAAGTGTCCCTCTTTTCTCTTGTGCTGTGTTTCACCTTCAGGCACAGCCAGGAAGACACTGCACTTCGAGATTTCCAAGGAAGGCAGTGACCTGTCGGTGGTGGAGCGTGCAGAAATCTGGCTCTTCCTAAAAGTCCCGAAGGCCAACAGGACCAGGACCAAAGTCACCATCCGCCTCTTCCAGCAGCAGAAGCACCCGCAGGGCAGCTTGGATGCGGCGGAAGAGGCCGAGGAAGTGGGCTTAAAGGGGGAGAGGAGTGAACTGTTGCTATCTGAAAAGGTGGTGGATGCTCGGAAGAGCACCTGGCACGTCTTCCCTGTCTCCAGCAGCATCCAGCGGTTGCTGGACCAGGGCAAGAGCTCCCTGGACGTTCGGATTGCCTGCGAGCAGTGCCAGGAGAGCGGCGCCAGCCTGGTGCTCTTGGGCAAGAAGAAGAAGAAAGAGGAGGAGGGGGAAGGGAAGAAGAAGGACGGAGGTGAAGCAGGGGCGGGAGCAGAGGAGGAGAAGGAGCAGTCGCACAGACCTTTCCTCATGCTGCAGGCCCGGCAGTCCGAAGACCACCCTCACCGCCGGCGCCGGCGCGGCTTGGAGTGTGACGGCAAGGTCAACATCTGCTGTAAGAAACAGTTCTTTGTTAGCTTCAAGGACATCGGCTGGAATGACTGGATCATCGCCCCCTCTGGCTATCACGCCAACTACTGCGAGGGTGAGTGCCCGAGCCACATAGCAGGCACGTCTGGGTCCTCGCTGTCCTTCCACTCGACGGTCATCAACCACTACCGCATGCGGGGGCACAGCCCCTTTGCCAACCTCAAATCGTGCTGTGTGCCCACCAAGCTGAGACCCATGTCCATGTTGTACTATGATGATGGTCAAAACATCATCAAAAAGGACATTCAGAACATGATTGTGGAGGAGTGCGGGTGCTCATAGAGTCACCCAGCCCACGGGGAAAGGGAGCTAGAGTTGTCCAGAGAAGACAGTGGCAAGATGAAGAAATTTTTAAGGTTTCTGAGTTAAACAACCAGAAAAATAGAAATTTAAAACAAACAAAAACAGAAACAAAAAACTAAAAACAAAACCTGATGAAACCGATGAAGGAAGATGTGGAAAAAAATCCTTAGCCAGGGCTCAGACGTGAAGCAGGGAAGGAGACAGGAATTGGGGGCGGGAAAGGGAGAGTGTACCCTTCATTTCTTCTGAGATCAAACTCATGACATCAGTTGTTTAAATGGGGTATTGTCCCCTCCCGCCTTGCGGTTCCCCTGTGAGCCTTGAATCAACTTGTCTAGTCTGCAGGAGTGTGGACTAGCACAACCCAAATAGCATCTAGAAAGCCATGAGTTTGAAAGGGCCCATCACAGCACTTCCCCACCCAGTTACCCAGGTCATAAGGTATGTCTGCGTGACACTATCTCTGTGTATATCAACACACACACATACACACACACAGGCGTTTCCACATACCACATACATACACATGCTGGTAAAAGAACAATAGTGTGCAGGTGGTCACACTTTCTTTTTCTGCACCACTTTTACAACAAGACAACAAAACAAAACAAAATCCAACATAAAAAATTGAGAACAAGAATGGGAAGAGTGAAAGATCAAGGAAAAAAGAATACCAAGTTACATTTCGTTAAGGTGCTTATGATCTTAGAACTATGCAACCTAATAGGTTTGAAACTGTTTACCTGAGAGAGAACAAAAAGAGAGACTTTTTTGTATCGGAAGTAATCTGATTAATTTTTATTTTCTTCAAGGAGAGATACTTGAAAGGAATATGTTTGTCCATCTGTTGGATCCAAACATTTCTATATTTTGTAAATGTTGTTGTTGTTTTTTTTTTTTTTATCGTTTACTATTTGCACTACAATGGTGTTTGACCTGTCTAATCCTTATTTAACAAGTATTTTCTTTGGGTGGGGGTGGGGGTGGGGTTTAAGAGCTGCACTTAATGTGAGCTATAAAAGAACTGCTACAGCACACAAAATAGCTATTTTTATTATTATAATTATAATTATTATTATTATTTTGTACCTTAAAAAATAGACACATACACCAAAGACATTTGTGTGAGCCTTTAAACAGTCTGTCTGTGGTTGGTATCATTCACCATCATTGAGTCAGGGGTTGGGATTAAGATTGAGTAGGGTGGATTGTGTTCAGGCTTAAAAGACCTGAGAAGTTTGGTTTTTGACTCCTACATCCATGAAACAGGACATTTCATACTGGATGTACAGTAGTTGTACACTGTTCGATATCAAGTTCAATCAAATTCATGAAACTACATGCTTGTATGTGTATATATACATTGCTTGTGCATATGCATATCTGTGTGTATATATACATGTATTGTACCATGTCCATACACATTTTAAGCACTTCAGGCTGTCATTTTTTAATGTTCTTAAAGCAATGAATGTTTGTGTGCAAAACACAGTATTTTTAAGAAGGATAGGCTATAGTTTTTGCTTTTACTCTGAACTCGGTGGGCACATTTCAAAAATCTGGATGGGATAAAGCCTGGAAATTCCAGTGAATATTCAGCAAGGCCCTCGCTAAACATACAGGGATCAAATTCCCTCCTCTTTCTTGCCCCTCCCACCCCACTTCTACAAGTTATCCCCTGTGGGGAAAATAGGATGTTAATCAAAACTCGGGTTAATTCTGATTTTTTTTTCAACTTATATTTATTGTCTGTTGGAATCAATCTTACATCAGAAGCTTTTTTGGAAAAAAAATAATCTTTAGGCCAGAATGAAAGAGGTGAGTGTATTTCTTTCTTTTTTTTTTTTTTTAATGATTCAGGCCTGGTTGTGAGAAATATTACTTGTACCCATTGGGTTTGATAATGTTCTTATCACTAGTTAAAAGATACATGATTTGGGGGAAGATGTTAAGAGAGTGAGAGTAGGAAGAGAACAATTAAAAGGAGGCAGGGACGAGGGCAGTAGCAAAAATCTCTAATATCTTAATTGATAGCCAAAACTCCTGATGTATGAGTTTGCATGTATTGATTTGGATGCAAAAAGAAAAAAAAAACAACTTTGTTTTATAAATATCAAAATACGTGCTTAAAGCTAAGTTTCTATCTAATTTATTCTAGTATTTAGCTTGCCTAGAATAGCTAGTAAGTTATTCATTTATGTGTTTTTAAAAATACAGAGCCTTATTTTCACTGACTTGTTTGAAGTTTGCAAAACTTTTTAAAAATTGAAAAAAATTCTAATAATTGGGAAAAATCACATTCATTCATATTTTGTAAACTACGGAAGCTGTTAGCTCTTCAATTGATTTTTAAGAAATCAATTATAGGAAAATAAAGTATCAGTGAGAAATCAAACATTATAAAATGTGGTTTAGCTTTTCTTGAAAAATATGTTAAGTCAGTAGACTATAACACTGGGCTGTATGTAGGCAAATTACTTTAATGTCATAACTGGGCAAATACACTTGGTATGTTCTAGAGGTCCTCTTTTTTTAATGCAGGAAATACAACATGTACTGGGTGAGAAGCTTCAGAGTGGATTCTCAGGAAGGTCCATCGACCTTGGGTTACATGCATGGGAAGGTGGGTGTGGGGAGGGAAGTTTTAGGGGAAAGTAGACGGCCATGTTCACCTTAACAAATGTAAATGTTCATGGAAGAAATTTAAGGGCCTTTTGAACTGCATCTTCTTTGGTACTGGAACTAATCCTGAAATAATCTATAGAAATAGTGTGAGGGAATAAGTCCTAGTTCACTGTGCAGCAGCAGAGCTGATTGAGGCCATGGAAAAAAAATTTAGAAAGACAGATGATACCCATGTGTAGTCTCATTCATCTCAAATAAATCTGCCATCTTTTTAAGCTCTTTATGTCCTAGACATATTGGGGGTAATATGAGGTTTGATTGGTGGCCAGAGTAATTAAAAGCAGAAAAATGAAATTCCATATGATAATATTTTAATTGGATATTAAATGATTGGGTTATCATACACCCACAAACTTTAATTTTATTTCGTTAAATTTATGTGGCCTTGAAATAGAATTATAAATTGCTACCATCTTTAGTAATATTGAAAGATACTATTTTACCATCTTTAATAATTTTGGAAAATACGAGCCTGTGAACAACCACTCTTTGACGTAGCAGGACAAGACCAAAAGAAAAAGCTTTTAAATTCTACCATATAGGGTTCTTCCTAATATGATTTTTTCTGAAATGGGGGTGACTCTCATCTTATTATGTCTCCCCTCTTTCTCTAAGGCTAATCTCTAGGCTCTTAAAAATATGCCCACGCCAATTATAGAAGCTCTGAAAGGCATTTGTCTTCAAATATATTTTAAGAGTAATAAATACTTTATAGACCGAATTGACATTTTCTATTTTTTTTCCAAAAAATTAAGGTGAATTCCAGCACACCGAGTTGGTATTTTCTTGTCCCGGAAGACCAGCCAACTTCATATTTATTTAAGATTGATTCCACACTCCATTTTCAAGGAGAGTTTCTGCATTCTCCTCAAAGGTAGAACAAGTACATTTTTTTTTCAACCCTTGTGGGATTGGACTTTAAGAGGTGACTCTAAAAAACAGAGAACAAATACGCCTCAATTGTATTAAGCATAGATTCAAATTATCATGTTCGCTTAAAAAATGATTTCCTGTGAGCCTTTTGACAACTTCCCTTTTCAATATAGAGAAAAACTTAGTCACCCTGAAAATCTACAGAATAAATGAAACTTGTAGATGTGGGCAGAAGGTTTGGGTGTGGACATCGTATGTGTTTAAATTAAACCCTGTATCACTGAGAAGCTGTTGTATGGGTCAGAGGAAATGAATGCTTAGAAGCTGTTCACATCTTCAAGAGCAGAAGCAAACCACATGTCTCAGCTATATTATTATTTATTTTTATGCATAAAGTGAATCATTTCTTCTGTATTAATTTCCAATGGGTTTTACCCTCTATTTAAATGCTTTGAAAAACAGTGCATTGACAATGGGTTGATATTTTTCTTTAAAAGAAAAATATAATTACGAAAGCCAAGATAATCTGAAGCCTGTTTTGTTTTAAAACTTTTTATGTTCTGTGGTTGATGTTGTTTGTTTGTTTGTTTGTTTTTATTTTTATTTTGTTTTGTTTTTTTGCATACTACATGCAGTTCTTTAACCAATGTCTTTTTGGCTAATGTAATTAAAGTTGTTAATTTATATGAGTGCATTTCAACTATGTCAATGGTTTCTTAATATTTATTGTGTAGAAGTACTGGTAATTTTTTTTATTTACAATATGTTTAAAGAGATAACAGTTTGATATGTTTTCATGTGTTTATAGCAGAAGTTATTTATTTCTATGGCATTCCAGCGGATATTTTGGTGTTTGCGAGGCATGCAGTCAATATTTTGTACAGTTAGTGGACAGTATTCAGCAACGCCTGATAGCTTCTTTGGCCTTATGTTAAATAAAAAGACCTGTTTGGGATGTATTTTTTATTTTTATTTTTATTTTTATTTCATGTCTTATTGATTTTCTAAGGTCAACTTTGCACACATATTGCCACATCCTTTGCTGGGTGATAATTTTGTTTCTACTGTAATGATGCAGAAGAGGATGAGAAACAGACTGAATGTGGGAGAGAGAACAAAAGCTGGAGTGAGAGAGCTCGAGTAGAAAAAGAATAGATATTGCCATGGCAGAGGCTGGTAATGGGCTATAGATGCTTGGACCAGCAATATTTATATTTTATTCATTTTGTTAATTTCCCATTTCTCCAACTGTAGTGGCGAGTACTTACAAGAAATAAAGAGATGTTCCTTCCTTACTTCCCTCCCTCCTTCTTCCTTCCTTCTTTCTTCCTCCTTTCCTTTCTGGCTAGAAAACTGGAAATGCGTGGAGTAACTAAAGCTAGAAAACCACAAACATGGGGAAAAATGTGCTTAATCCTACTACTAGGAGCAACAGAACCAATTTGGAATCACAGAAGTAAAGTCAAGAATCAATTGAACGTTCAACTTTTTCTTCTGTGATTTTTCTCTAGTATCTGTGCCCATCCCAGAGGTTATATG